CGGCATGAGCCGCAGCCAGTGTCCCGTCGGTCCCCGGTGGCTCTTCAATTTCTGCGTCGTGATAAAGTGATGTTCTGTTGATGACAGACTTCCCTTTCGGTTTAGGTGGGACGGGAGGCCGATCCACCAGGAAGGCATGTCCATCTGCGGTGGTGTAGAGGCTCTCCAGAGCGCTGTCGCAAAAGCCTCCTTCTGATGAAAGGGTGGAGATACTAGATACTGTGCTGGTGGTCTCCATGTGCTGTGGGTCCCCGCTACTGCGGCTGTCTACCTCTTCGATGCCAGAATCACCAACTCCAGACTCTAGGTCAGGTGGAGGAGGAGGATATGAAGGGGGCATACTGTTTGCCATACGTTTGTCATTGACAGGTGGTGGGGCATGAGCATGGTAAGAAGGCAATGACGGCCCCCCATTCCGTCTCTGCTGCTTTAGCATTTCTGCAATGGCACTCGCCTGGTCGTCAGGAATGTCAATACTGTTGGCAAACTCCAGTGGAGGTGGGAGGGGCTCTGCAAAGTCAAAGTCCTCATCAATATCCACAGAGGCAAGAGGGGGTGGAGGTATGCGAAATGGCAGCTTCACTGGTTCGTCCAGGGATTCTCCAAATGGAATGCTCCTTCTCCGTAAGGAAGAAGGATGGGGTGTGGAAAGTGTTGAAGGGTTATGAGTATCAGGATGATTAAGGTCCTTTAGCTCTGAAGGCTTGTTGCTGTCCTGTCCCTCCAAATCTGTGCTGTTAGCCTTGTTTCCTGCTTCTGTGCTAGTGTGGACCATCAGAAGCCCGGCAGATTTTGGTTGTGACGTGTCTCCCACATCTGCTGGTGCACTTTTCCTCTCCTCAACAGCCTGATGCTGCCTCTCTTCCCTTACCACATTTGACTCATATTTCTGCTCTGTCATCTGCCTCCTCAGGCCGCCTCGCCCAGGTCGTCCCATGGTTGCTGAAGAAATTGCAGCAAAACTTGTCTCAATCCCAGAGCGTAGTTTGGTGTCTATAAACAGAGGCTGGTTGAGGTCTGGTTTGTGGCTCGGCTGAATAGGAAGGGACTGCGCTTCATGTTTGGGAGTTTGTTGAACCTGAGGAGAATTTGGTTGCTGATTTTGAGGACTGTTCTGTTGCTCTTTCATTGCACGATCACGGGCTGCCAGAGCAAGGGCTAGAGGTGAATTTGGGTCCAAGGGTTTACCAGTGACAGGATGGAGGTAGGTTCCATTGGCCCTATAGTGACTTTTAGGAGGAGTAGCTGGGAGACTCACAGGGCTATCCAGGTTTGGACATTGGCCTGTTCTGGTGTTAAGAGGCTCCCTCACAACTGTGGGCTCTGGGGTATTGAAATCAGTCATGTTTCCACTACCGCCCCCAACAGGGGGACCAAGTTGTGTGGTCGTCGGAGCCAATATTCTTCGAAGCCGTTCATCGCTACTGAACATGCCTTCATCAATAGACTTTGATTGGCGAAGACGAGGAGTTGGTGTAGGGCCACTTAACTCATCATCCCCTATGTCTATTGACTGGAAGGCAATAGAGTTCTTTCTTGCCTCTAGCCTCTTCTCACGGTCCCTTACTGCCCCTGCAATAGCTGCTGCAAAGGGGTTGCCTAAAGAAAGGGGGTCATCGGGACGTAGACCGCCACTTCCACCAACAGCGGGCATGAGAGATGGGTGCTCTGGAGTAGTTGGCTCAATCTCCATACTACTTCCTTGGCTGCTCTTACCGCTGCTGCTGGTAGAGGGCTCTTTAACAATAATTGTGGGGATGGGAATTGATGAGCATGTTCGTTCTACAGGCGTAGTTGGCATGGAAACTGGGGTAGAGGAACTTGCTGGCACATGACAAGTTTTCTCTGGACTGTCCTCAACATTGGACTGCTTGACTAGCATTCCCTTCCTTCGAGCTGGCTTTGCTGGCACATACAGTGTCTTGTTGCCCACCTCAGAGTAAGGGTTCTCAGGCACGGGTGTGCGACCTCGAGTACGTGGGCTCTCAAACTGCTCTGAACTCTGACGAAAATAGCCACGTCGCAATGTACTAACGTCAGCATTCCGGCTAATAGTTGTCACTGCATTGGGTGTGTTCTGTAGAAAACTGGGTCTGGATGTGCCATAGTTTTTGGCTGTAGGGCTAGAAGTTGAGTTGAAGGAAGGAGGTGAAGGGGGTGAAATTGCTGGAGGAGGTGGAATGTCTTCGGAGGTGTCAGGCATCGAAAGACTGCGGGAGAACTTGAGCAGGGGAGGCGTGAGGAAGCCGTGTTTATCATCTTCCGATGAACCTGGAAGAAATAACAAACGGTTGCGGACGATTTATTTTATTTCTAGATGGACTCTGGTAACTTTGGTTGAAGTAGGTTGTTGCAGTAAAGCAGCCTATGGTATGTTTTAAATATTTGGTACCATACTTTCCAGGTGGTACAACTGAGGCGGCCCACTTCACTTGTCAAAAAGCAAAATAAGGGATACTATTTATAGTAGTAAAAATGTGCTTATATTTCAATTATTGTGAAATTAAACCAACCATGAGTAACATTAGCATGATTGTGTTCCTCCATACGTATCCATATTGTGAATAGGTATTTAGCATACGCTTAATGACTTACAAAATGAATGCCTCAAAGCACACTTTGCTGACTGGATCACTCTATTTTATCTATAATTAGCTCCAATATTGCTGGGGTAAGTCCACAGAGCATTAACAGAGCACTTCCACCAGCTAATAGCACAAAGTGCTGGACATCATTGGACTTCAACATTAGGCACACACACATATACCAAAGCACACAGACACACAATGACAGTATTTGTATCATACCTATTGACTTCTGCTTCTTTATAGTGCCCTTCTCAGGAATACCCAGGTACGGCCCTGGTACAGTAGGTGGCACCACTGCTACTCCTTGTCGGTCGTGATACATAGACTGCAAACCACAGTGATTTAAGTTAAACACACACCAATGTACACTTTAGTAAGATTTAAAGATGTATGCACATACAAAAAAGAACATAACATGTTTCATAACCGGGAATGACGATTATTAGAACAATTAACAGAAATCCTGATCTTAAGTATCCAATAAGAGTTCAAACCAAATCTGGTCAATAATAGACAACTAAATAATAAAAAGCAGACAAAACCTATTGAACTTCCAGTAGAGACCAGGCTTATAAAATGTGAAATGAAATACATTATCACTACATTAACATCAAAAAGCTTTCAAAGGTTCCGCCTACACACATTCATTTCTGTAGGTGTGACCAAGCAACGGCTGGATGGCCTTGGTTTGATTGTGGCGATCTTCATATCAGCAGGTGGGTTCTTCTGAGCATGTGTCATTTCTTCGACTTTGTCTGCAAGACAAAGGGACCCACAAGACTATGAGCAAAAATATTTTTAAAAAATGTTATAAAATAAAATAAAACCTAAGGGTGCGTGTTCAAAAAGCCTGACAAGTTCTGATGGGCCATTCACAAGCTTATCCTTCTCTCTGACTCCTCCCTACGATTCTGGGACTGAACCAAACTGAACCAAATAAAATGAAACTCACATCTGGTGGGTGGGTGGATTTCGGTGGAGGTGGTAGAGGACAGAAAAATGGAAGGATGAAATGTGTCAAGTGTGTCCAGCCTCAGAAGCCGTGCAAGTTTTTCATTTAAAACAGCCGTCTTGGCAGCATCATCCAACAGTTAGAAATAGTTCCTCATTCGCTGTAACATGAATGATGAATGTAATGTTTGTCAAGTTTGCTATTATTGTCCAGTATTTTATTTTATTTTCACATCAACGGCAAACTTGGCAGAAACCAAACTTCTCTCAAAGGTGTCATGATGAATTAGATTGGTTTTACCTCCAAGTTTTTTTTTTTAGTCAGAAAGCCTACATGCTAGATGTAACTGCTCTAGTTCTATTCAGACCTGGCCTTAACATTTTTACAGAGTGGCTCATAAATGACTTAATTATTCCTTGGTAAGAACACAAAAAATATTGTTAACTATTTAGTCAAAGATGCTCTGAACAAGCTGACATTCGTCTTCTTCTTCTTTTGGCTGTTGTTGGCTGTTCAGGATTCTTCTTCTTCTTTTGGCTGTTCTTGGCTGTTCAGGGGTCCCCATCTTCATCCATCTCACCCTCTGCCTCTTCTTCTTTTACACCAACTGTTTACATGTGCTCTTACAGGACGTCCACAATTCTTCGCAGGGGTCTTCCTCTTCTTATCACCCTTTGTGGAACATATTAAACTATCTCTCCTCAGTTTTATCTCCAAACTGCTCCGCCTTAACTGTCCCACTGACCTGCTCATTTTTTTTATCCTGTCCACCCTGGTCACCCCCAGTGAAGATCTGCCACCTCCAGCTCAGCCTTTTGTCTAAAAAACAGAGCCACTGTCTCAAAACCATACATCATAGCAGGTCTCACAACGGTCTGTTCACACCCTGGCCTGAAGCCGATTGAATAAATCCGGATAAATGTTGGGACCAGGTCTGAACGAACGTGTCCTCTTTCATCTCCCTACGTCATATCTAACTTTAGAAAGCTTCCATGCATTAAGGCAGTGATTACTTAGAGTGACTTGGAAAACAATCCTCTTCTTCTGCGCATCTACACACAGAGGAGAGGAGTGGGGAGGAAAGGAGAGGGGGAGGAAAGGAGCATCAATGACCTTCTCTATGTATTAACACTGAAAACATACCAAATACTCACAATGCAACACCATCCAGCACAAATGTTAGAGTTAAAACAATGCTCTTATAACAGGAGTTTTTTTTTTCATGTCTGAGCAGCTACAGAATCAGTCAGACAAAAATGCAGTGCAGTTGCTGTGGAAACCAGAGCAATCTGTGAGTGAAGCATTTCCTGGAATAAACCTCCTGCACACACACACACACACACACACACACAGATAGAAATCATACAAGTTGGTGTTGACACACAATGACAAAAAAAAGTTTAAAAAAATTATAAAAATGAAAGTCAATCAGCTACTTTGAACATTAGTTTGAGGCTGGTTGTTGTCTGTGTGTCTATAAAAATGAATGTTTCTCAAATGATCTGTTGTGGAACACGTCATTTCTTTCGAGGCAATTAGTCATAACCATAAATATTATTTAAGCGTTGGGCATAGCTGAGCTGCAAATGACTCAGGATCTAAGCGTGTTGGGTTTTGGACGTCAATGAGGACAGGTTTTTTAATTTCAAGATAATTGTTCAGTCTTAACTGCCTATTTTATTATACTTTTAAATCCCCTGGTGTCAGATCCCATTTAAAGGGGAAAAGAGGACCATAACAACCAAGTTTGGTTTGGTTATTTGCCTGGCAACCGCAAAGCCATATTATTGGAGTCCCCTGGGGTTCTTACCCAAAAGTACAATGAATGCACAGTATATAGGTAGAAACACGGGTTGAGATAACACTGAGAGAAAAAATATATCTTCAATTATCATGAGTGCGTTTGTCCACCAAAGACGAAAGGTTAAAAAACAAAAACATCAACAACAAGAATCAGTGAGTGTGGAAAAGCAACAGAGAAATGTTAACACACCGGTGCTCAGCACTTTGACAATATCACAAACATGCATCATCTTGAAGACATTTGCACATTAAAATACACACTGTAAATCATGCAAAAAAAAACAACAACAAGAACAAAACATGAACTAGTTTTTGTGTTTTTAACTGAAAGCCAAAGCAGCCATCAATTATTTTTGTTAAAATTAAACCAAGTGACATAAAGCTCTCATGAGTAGAATCAGAGGTAAACATGCTCTCAGTGACTTACCACCTTTCTTTTTCCTTAGTGTGGCTAAGAGAAGGTGACAGAAGAATACACACACTCAAAACTTTTACTTTCTAATCTTAAAAAAAACCCTCTACCTAAAGCTAAAGCTTTGATTCTTTGTTAAGTTATATAATGTGACTATAGAAACGGGAAACTGATTTAGGTGACACACAGTCAGCAGTTTTATCCGATCCTTTTCCTGTTAATACATTTCCTGCGTCTTTCCCCTGATGACTCCTTCTTTTTTAGTTTTCTTCTGGGTCTGTAAGTTCTTCCTGAATCTCCCTTATTTTTTTCTGACTCACTCTTTCTTCATCAATTCTTTCTCAATGTCCATTCATCTCCTCATATTCATTCACCCCATCCACACATGTAATTATCTTCTTTTTCTTCTCCTGCCCTGTTCTTCCTGTGCCTCCTCCTGTGCCCCACCATTCGTCTCCTGCAGTGTGTTCTGATCACCAGGTGTTTGGGCTGCACTTTAAATGCAGGGACCATTTGTCCTCATGACGGAAAAAATTAAATCACACAAACACACACAGAAATAATTTGCTCATTGCATCGGCAGCAGCTCGTGTGCACAAGCAAACTTTGCAGGTTGATTCTTCCATGCACATAGAAAAGTAGAACAGGAAATGCGATGCTTTACGTTACAAACTTAAGCAAAAAACAAGTGAATGACGGAGCGGACACTCCACTCAGCCACATGTTCAGGCAGTGGATGCTGTGAAGGGATGGAAGGAACAAAATGACAAAGTTTGTGCAGCAGTGACTGCTTACCTTTATCCACTACCGAGGGTCAGAGAAAGAGAGAGAGAGAGAAGAGAAAGAGCTGGTTAGAAACCGACATCCAGACGATGAAGACGTTAAAACTCTCAACACTCTTCTCTTACCAAGTTCCTCTAGTTCAGACGTCATGGACTTGGAGCGCATGGACAAGGCAGTGGTGGGGGCTCGTTTTGGTAAAGAAGGAGCTGAGGAACATATTGAGACAGAGTGGTGTAAAAAAAAACAAACATTGAAACCTGATTTACAGACACAATTGCTATCTTGCGATTGCGATAATTGCGATCTCTGACAGAACAAATTGTAAAGCTTAAATTTACAAAATTTAAACATCTTAATAAAGGCAAACATCTTTAACAACTGTTGAAACAAGAAGCTTTTGAGCTTGATGAAAGTAGCGACAAAAACAGTATAAAAAACCTTCTACCTAAAATAGTTTCGGGATCGATTAGTGATAATTTGATTTCTTCTTGACTATTTTTTTTGTTTGTTTTTCTTTGCCCTAATTTTATTTGCAGTAAATAAACACTTAAATTTATTACTTCAAATTTATTTTTTATCTAGTACCTGGAATGGTTTTCTTAAAAAAAAATGGAGAAAATAAAAGAGTTGCCTCTTGGAGAGAAAAAGTTTTCAACTGATTATTTTAATCCGAATATCAGAGCTGACCAGCTGTGAATCTTCCTCCCTATTTCTGTCTCACCTTTTTTTCGAGCAGTATCTTCAGGGTCCAGATTCCGACTCACTGTTACAACTTTGATGAGGAGTCGGTTTCCCCCCTGACGGATCATGTTGACCACCTGCCTGTGACCCACCTTTACCACATTCTCCTGGTTTACCTGCAACAAACACACAGCAACCAGATCTTACAAAAAAGCACCAAAAATACATTGGTTTGGATTGAAAAATTTACACAAAGAGAATTGTAACTTTATTCTGCTTTATTCTGTTTTCTTCATTTAAACTGAGACTGTAAACATCAACTGTAAACACCTCCATTTCCTTTTTTAGGTAAATATTTCAAGTATTTTAATCTCATTACGTATTTAAAACTGAAGTCCAATGAGACAAATGTGTTTTGTGAATTTGGGCTGAAGAAATAAAATTAACTTGACCTGAAAAATTTTAGATTTTTCTTTTAATAATTTTGATTTTTTAAGATTTTTTTTTTTGCAAACATATTATTGTTGTTACAATGTGTTTTGTGAATTTGGGCTGAAGAAATAAAATTAACTTGACCTGAAAAATTTTAGATTTTTCTTTTAATAATTTTGATTTTTTAAGATTTTTTTTTTTGCAAACATATTATTGTTGTTACAAACAGTTTATGATCACTGCTGCAGCCAATAAATCAATAGTTCTGATTACAGATACAGAACTGAACTATAATTGTGTTAGGGATAGAAATAGACACAAGTGAAGGTTTCATTTTCACCAAAATGTCCTCATCAGAATAGATGTTAATTAAGTTGGTCACACATTTTGAAAGTGCCATCAAGCATATTCGTGTCAGCTGATCGCTCTCTCATTACACACACAGACACACACAGATACACTCATTCTGTGTAGAAACACACACACAAATACTAACAGACTTTAGTTTGCATACAGGGAAGTGTTACGTAATGTTCTCTGTCTTCAACCCTCTTATGTAACTATTCTGGTAGGATGGCACGCACACGCAGATGGATGAGGAAATGAGAGATGTGTTGAAGAAGGATTAGGATAAGACTCTAAGAACTCTCTCCAGACTAACCAAAGGGATTTCACTATATTAAACAGTAAATACGTAATGTCACCATCTAAGATGATTTATTTAGTAACCCCAACATGATTTTCTACAGTACTCTTATTTTTAAAAATATAATAAAATAAAAAATAATTATTTTTAGTTAATTTGTGAAACAAAGCCCATCAGTGGCTAAAACCAGTTCTTTATTATGTCCTCCATCCAGGGAGTGTCCAAAGCTTCAAGACGCACATTTAAAGTCGGTGGTGAATTTATCAATGAAGAAGGCATCAATGAAGCAAAATATGTGATTTTATATTTTGCTTTTGGAAGATGTGCCCAGAAGAATAAAAACAAAGAATTGCCAGAAAACTGCAGACTATGTCTTTAGATGATTATGGAAACACACTGACCTACATTTACAACTCTACATACAACATGAACTGCCTCCGTAAGCTTTTTAGAACTGGGGAAAAACCAACAATATCTGTGTGAGAAACCAGATGCACAAAATGATAAAAACATGAAAACTTGGTCCAGAAAGACTCATTGTCTTGTCTTCATCAGCCTGTAGGCATTTACTACCTGAATGAAGGCTTCAATAAACACTATATTTTTCATTTGTCAATCAAATAGAGCATGATGTAAATACCAACACAACTGAGATCATCAATCATGTTTCCAACTGAACAAGATGCTTTTCCAAAGCCCACCAACAAACTGTAGAGCTAAAACATAAGCACCTACACTGACCTCGACCAGCCTCCGCGGCGTTCCGCACTACTGACAAGATCAATACATAAGGATGGGTTACATGTACAGAGCAATTACATTGATTTGTATGGATTTGTCTGCAGAGGCACTGACGATGCTGTAAACACAGACAGAGAAATGAGCAGTAATTGTCTCTGATTGACTGAGTGAACAGTGATTTGTATGTTTAGTCTCTCTCCACCTCTCCATCTCCCTCACACACACACACACACACACACACACTACACCACAAACAAAGCACCATCGTCATCCTCACAAACCACACCAACATTTCCACAACGCTGAGCATCCTCCAGCCCATTTAGCTGAACACAGACGGCAACTGATCCCTCCATCAATCTGCTCTGATAAACACAGGACGGCCCTGCCGACTGTCAGCCACTAATCTGATTAATCAATCATAATCCTAACCATGCAAATAGGACCAATAATCGCATGCTAGCAGTCGAGCTAGATCAACAGCATATTTATCTAAACCAGTGCAGACAGATGCAAATCGACTTATGGTGCACTTTTCATTCACCTGACTCAGTTGTGGTAGTATTACAATATGGACAGGACAACACACATTTTTTAAATTCGTAAATGTAATTATTGGTGGGAAAACATTCTCTCAGCACTAATATGGACAGGACAACACACATTTTTTTTAATTCGTAAATGTAATTATTCATGGGAAAACATTCTCTCAGCAAAAAAATAAAAAAAATAAAGTCTACCTCACTCATCCCACTGTCGTGTGTGTGTGTGTGTTTTGCTCTACCTCTAGAAAAACACAAAGGTCTGCTACATTTAAATTACCTGTGTATTAAGATGTATATTAAAAGTTTTTAAGGCCTGCGGTTTTTTAAGATTAAGGAAGTTTAAACTCCTGTAACACCAGGTTTTCCAAGATTTTTTTTAATCTTCCAGACTAGATGCCAAAATGGCAAATTATTAAAATGCAAACCCTTTCTTGTGAGTCAAAGGTCTCAGATAACACCAGAACATATTAATAATCGTACACACTTTAACAGTTGGGTAACAAACATTTTCAGTTGGTGATTTCCATTGCAGAATTGACTATAAAAACATCAAGTGATACCACATATATGAGTGAACACTGTGTTTGACAACAGGCTGAACCGTTCAATCAGAGTTTGGTTACTTCAAACTCAATGACTGTTTTCTACAATAATAACAACCCTAGAATGTTGTGGCAGGAAGAGAAGAAGAAAATGTCTTTTGTTATCACCGGGGAAGAGATTACAACAGAATTATGCTTTGGCTGTTACTCTCAGCTCACCGCAGGTCAGAAATGAAAGGTCACATGTCCGTGCCATCGACCAATGACCGTAGAGACGGATAATCTGCTCACACTGCACAGAGGAGGCCACTGGTGGAGAATTCACAACATTTACTACCATTCTGTCCTGCTGGTGCATATCCAAACCAAGGCATCAGCGTTCACTTGACCTGACATGCACCTCACCACCTGCACACAGGCTTTAGTCCAATGTGTTGAATACATACAAAAATGATACATAACCTGGTTTTTAAAGGGTTTTTTTAGGCTCATGTGTTCAGTTTATTACAATTCCTCTGCAAGTGCTTTGAACACAACATCTTAACATGTGGTTGCATCACACCAGTGTAGTCAGTCTGTCACTGTTTAAACATTAAAGATGTTTTTCCCCCTGCTATTGGTTGATATAACATTGAGAAAAAATCTCCTACTTTTAATGTGTCTCAATGTTCAAATTTCTTTGTAGTCTGAGGGGTTCAGCTTCAGCCAGGAAAAGTCCAAAAGTTTAGCTGAACCCTGGGTTACCTGGGGAAAAGACCAACCCTCCCCGAGGTACTGAAAAGTTTCCAAAGGAGCTCATAGCTGATAAAAGAAAGACTGGGAGTGATGTTGAGGATCCTGCTGAGGCTTCATAAATGGATGGTAATAATATTCAAAGTGAGCTGATAAAGGCCTGTGTTTCCAGCCTTGAAGGTGGAACACTACATCAAGGCATCAGGGTCACGAAGTGGGCTCCATGTTTTGACCTCAAAACCTAAACTAAACTTCTGTTACGTTTAATTGGAATGTGTTTTTAACTTTATAAGAATCTTAAAAACTGGAAATAGAGGATGTCAGTTTCGATCATATAAATCCAAAAAAAAACAAACATTTTTCTCTCTATAAAACACAGAACTGTTCTTGGGGTGTAACCTGTGACCAGTGTCCAAACGCTAGAAACTCTTTTTTTCACCTTTCATTTAAACTTTACCCCCCAACCATACACAGGCTTAAAATAAACAGTACATGGACAAACACTGGATAAAAAGTGACAGCCTGACTCCAAGCAGTCAGCAGGATGTCACCTTTAATGTCAGTCAGTCAGTCAGTCAGTTCTCCACGACCTGACCTCCTCCACTCTTCAAAAGACTCAACTCCAGTCTCACGAGAACGGGCTCTTCTCTTAAAAGCTGCATTAACACTGTGTACACACTATAGCAAAACACGTTCCTGGTTTCCAGGCAACAGTTGCTATGAGATACCGCTGCAGGTGGGAGTGGTGCTAAGAATGTCATCGTGTGAGATGACGGGGGACGATTCTTCTGGTGTTGTTGGGGCAGCGGATTGTACCATTTGTCCTCAAGTGGGGTAGTAACACAGTGTTTTCCTCAATGGGTGTCTTTACCAAAATGTCTTTACGTCACTTCTCCTGCCTCTCCCTCTGCAGCCATTTGAAACATTTAGTCAAAGCTTTTTTTTTCCCTTCTTCATTGTTTCATATTTTTGCAGCGAGAGCAGAGAACTCTGCCACGCTTCTCTCTGAGCACTGCACACGGAAATGAATTATTTATAGGAAACAACGCTTCCACTCTGTGTTATTTTAAGACTGAATATCATGTCATCCCAGTGCACTGACTTGCAGGGTTTGTGTGCACACAGCAGCAGCATGTGTGAGAGACTCCTGCTTCTCCCTCACAGGGTGATAGATTGGGCGGGTACAGAGTAAACAGTGAAGGACTAGCAGCCCTATTCTGAAGGAGCCGGTGACCCAGATCTCATCTACAGCTGACTAGAAGTCAAAAACATCTTTAACCAGCGTTTTTATAGGTCTCGGCTCCAAAATAATTTGGAGTAATTCAAAGTAATTTTGCCCACTGAAAGTGTATTTACTGGACACCAATACCGAATCATATTACCCTGCACATTCACTTGTTCTCTCTCTGTCTATTTGGAATCCTTATTGGTTGCCCCGGTTGAAAACCTCTGAGAATCTGACCTGTCTAAAAAAAAAATGTTTTTTATTATTCACGCAGCACCTTAACATGCCATTCAGTGTGAAAGACAGATGTAAG